TTCTTCCCGGTAGCGCCACAGCTGTATCCGACGATGGGATGTCTCCCATCGCGGCGTTCTTCATTTGTTTTGGCTTCCAGGGCCCGCCATCGGGCCCCAGGACCATCAAACATGGATCGGGGACGGCAAATCCCTCCAATGCAGGGAAGCCGGGCCCTCGGATTGAATACGTGGTATCGGAGGATGGTTGGGAATCTGGCATCTATGTGCGTCCATAGGGCCAGCTGGGGCGCCCCGGCGCGCACCCGCCACCTCTTTTTTCACGCGTCGCGGGCGGCCAAGAGGGGGGCGATGGCAACGGGAGCGTGGGGTGGGGGCGTCATGGCCGCGGCCATGACATCTCCCCCGATATTATGTCCCCCTTTATCTTCCAACGCATTCTTTGCCCGCCCCCCTTCGCTTGCGCACACTCTTCGGGCCATGATTTGTGAGCCCCCCCTCTTGGACGCCCCCCCTTGGACGTCCCCGAACGCGGGACGCACTCCCAGCGACTCCAGGCTGGCCCCTCCCCGCTGCCGAGGGGGCCCGCTCTGGCGGCTTGGGTTCCCCCGGGGGCCTGGGCCGAGTTGTCTGTTGGTTCGGGATCGGTTCTGGAAGACATTTGCTTTTGGGTCCCCGATGGGTGCCAATCGGTCGTTGGAAATAGATACTTTTGAATTCCCAGGTTCCAATATACTTCTTAGGCGCCTTTCTACTTCAAGGGTCGACTGTATTTGTTTCCCCTCTTCAGGGAACGGGCGGGATCCCAACCTACTTCCAACGCCTTCCTATTCCATGTTTCTACCTACTTGTTCCAACCGATGGGTACGATTGAAATTGGTACGGACAGAAAACGACTGGCTCTTCATGCTCGTTTTGAACAGGACGCCTTGTCGGTGTCGCCGCGGACGCTGTCCACTCGAGACAGGAAGCCGCCTGCCCTGCACACCGGCCGCTGTTGGCTCATGGAAGACGGATGTCGGGCCGCAGGAAAAGGTGGGATATGAAAAAGGGGGTACGGAATCTGCTGCATGCAGCTGGTTTCCGCCCCGCCGCGGGGCCCATTCTTCGATACATGGGCGCCACCAGGCACCATGAGGCTCCAGGAAAACCAGCCGCTGCCCGCCGGGCCCGTCGGCGACCCGGAAGCGCGTACCCGTGGGTCGTTGAAAGTAGGTATTGTCGATTCCCAGGTCGCAGTCTACTTTCGGCGCGTCCCCACTTCAAGGATCGAGTGGCTTCCCTTTTTCCCTCCTCTTCAGAGGGCGGGCGGGAGCCCATCTACTCCCAACGCCGCCCTACTGAATGTTCCTACCCACTTCTTCCGACCGGACTTCGACCGAAGAGTTTTTTTCGATCGAACTCTTCGATCGAATTTCGATAGAACTTCGATCGAACTTCGACCGAACTTCGATCGAACTTAGACCGAACTTCGATCGACTGAATGTACTCTTCGATCGAACGTCGACCGAAGAGTTTCTTTCGGCGGCGGGCCCGCGGGCCTGCGCCCAGGGGCTCCGGGCCCTTTGGCCCCCTCCCCGCCCTGCCCTCCGCGCACCTCCCCGCCCTGCCCAGCCCTCGGGGGCGGAAAAGAGGGGGGTGATGACTAGGGGGGGGGGATATCATGGCGGGGGCCATGATATTTCCCCAGATTTCATGGCGCCTCTTCTTATTTCATTACATCCCTGGCCCCCCCGCTGGGCCGCGCACATGCCGCCAGTCATGATTTGCACCCCCCCCCTCTTGGACACCCCTCTCTGGGCCGATCCCGACCATCCCTTCGGTGAGCCGCCGCGGCAGTGAGACGACGGTCTGAGCAACATCGGCATGATTTTCGGCTGTGCCCGGGGTCCACTCGGCGGCGAGCGAGGGGGGGGGAGGTGAGGAGGGGCGGGCCTTCTCAGAAGGCTCGGAAGGCCTCGGGCCTTCTGGGGAGTTGTCGTGAGCCTTCCCCGAGGACGCGGGAAACCACCCAGAAGCCGCGAGGGCTTCTGAGAAGCCCCGCCGCCTCCTGAGAAGGCCTACTTCTCACTTCCCATCGTTCGCTCCCCGCCGATTTCTCCACTCTCGGAAAACAGGGCGCCGCGCAAACATACATTTTTTTCGAGGCTGGGCGCGGAGTTCTCGGATCGGCGCTGGGGAACCCCCCCTTGGCGGCGCCGGACCTCCGAGGGTTTTCCTTCCTATGGAATTGTTCGCTCCTCTACCAAGGGCTCCTGCGAGGGCGCGAAGTTATTCGCGCTTCGCGCTTCGCGGGCCTCGTTCCTCCCCCCCCTCCTCCTCGTCCTCCTCTTCTCCCTTTGGGAGGGCGGCGCGAGAGCGCGAAGTTATTCGCGCTTCGCGCAGCGCGAAGCGCGAAGTTGGGAGCCCTAGCCTACGTTTGAGCCTCTGGAAGGTCTCCCGTCGCTGCGGCTGCCTTCCCCTCGAGGTCCGGGTCGGAACGCGCCCCTGTCGGGTCGGGCGAAAGGGGGGGATTGGGAAAGGGGGGGTTACGAAATTTGCTGCATGCAGCTGGTTTCGGCCCCACCGAGGGGCCCATTCCTCGATACATAGCCGCCTCCGGCGCTGGGAGGCGCCGGGGAAATCAGCTACGTGAGCTGAGTCTCAACCCCCCCCTTTGCTATCCCCCCCTTTCGCCCGACCCGACCCTGGAGAGTCGGAGGTGGACAGACCACCTACCCTGACACGTCGACTAGCGAATCGGCCGTTCCCGGTTCGCGAGGGGGCGTCGCGGCCGTCGTCTTTGCGGGTACAGGTCCGTCGGTTTCGGTCCCAGGCCGCTCTCACTGAGGGCAGGTTTACTAAAGGGAGGTTTGTCCACCGCCGAGAGAGGTCCGGGTGTCGCCTTCTGACCGCCAGACTCCCACCTCCCGAGCGCACGCTCGGCGCGACGGCGGCGGCCCTCGGAGCAGGCGCGGGGGGGACGCCTGGGAGGCAGGGGCCCTCTCGGAGCCCGGAGGCCTCTGAGAGGGTTCCCAGCATAGGGGGCGGACAGACCTCCTACCCTGACACGTGGACTGGCGAATCGGCCGTTTTCGGTTCGCGAGGGGGCGTCGCGGCCGTCATTTTTGCGGGTCCAGGTCCGTCGGTTTCGGTCCCAGGCCGTTTTCACGAAGGGGAGGTTTACCAAAGGGAGGTTTGTCCACCGCCGATAGCAAGGCGGGGCACCTGAGAGATGGCCCCATGCCTTCCAACGATCGGAGAACCAACAAGGACATGAGCAACGAACAAAAACCCTCGGAAGTCCGCGCGGGCCTCCGAGATCTTTTTCATGTTTATGTCGCTGCCCGTTCCCCTAGATGGGCTCCCCCGCTTTCTGAGGAGGCCGCCCCCTGGCGCGCGCCGGCGAGACGCCGAGCCGCACGCACTGCCACGAGCCTGGCGAGCGGGCCGATGGTCCTCGGGGTCGACGTGGGCCCAGCCGGGAGTCTACGCCGCTCGGCGTTTTCGAGGGCACTCCGCCATGGCTGGCACCGCTCGTCACCACCCACCAAACCACCCCAACCCAACCCGAAGGCCCAAATTTACCCTCGATTTCCAGTGGGGGGGGGTCGGGAAACGTCGAAAAAACACGTGTGGAACCCTTACCCCCCCCAACCCGAAATTCGGGTCTTCGGGTTGGGTTGGGGTGGTCTGGTAGGTAGTCAGCTCGCTCTCTGAGCCTCGCTGCGGGGCACGCCGCGCTCCGAGTCAGAGCAGCTCCGGGAGGGCGCCTTGCACGATTCAGGAGGGAAAAAGAAACACACAGACACAATGAATCGTCCCCTCCCGGGAAAATGTGGGAAGATATGGGAAGTGGGGGGAAGACAAGAACCTAGAAAATATGGGGAAATGTGCGGAAGCCTGTCATTTGTGTGTATTTAGCTGTGTGTCCCAGGGCCCCTTCCATGATGAGGGCATCAAGGGCCACTCCACGATTGGCGCTCCACTGGTTTCCAGTCCCCGGGACTCCTTCGCCAGCGTCGGACGCCCTGCTGCTTCAGGGAGGGCGCTCACAGCGCATGCCCTCCATCGTGGGCAGAGCTGCTGCCCCCTCCCCCGGCCCTGCCTGACGGCTCGCGGAGGAGCGAACTCTCGCGCCGGGGCAGCCTGCTCAGGCTGAGAGTGGCCACCTCCGCGCGCCGTCCTCGGAGGGCCCTGCCAGCCTTGGGGCCCCAGACGCGATCGCCGGCCTTCCCTGTGCCGCCTGCGTCGTAGTGAAGGGCCTGGGTGGACAAGCACACGCTGGCGCTGGCTCGCGTTCAGAGGATCACCGAGCGGGGTCAGAGCAGGTAGGGTTGCAGGATCGCGCTGGTACCAGCGGTGCGGCACCATCCTGGGCCCCATCACCTCTGTCCCGACATCGCGGGTGCACCGCCGCCTCTTCTGGCCCCAGTTGAGCTGCCTCCATTCGACCCCACGTTCAGGAGCGAAAGACGTGCGAACACATGGGTTTGCATTACGCCAGCGTTCGTAACATGAGGATTGCCTGGCAAAACAGGAGGGCACATCCGTGTACGTGGCTTGGCTTGTGCGTCCTCCTGGGGCTTCCTGCAGATGGGGTCGGAGCAGGCGGGGTTGCAGGACTGCGCCGCAGCCGCCGATGCGTTGCGGCGTGACTTGGAGCCCGATCATCTCTCCCCCGACCCCGCGAAGTGCATCGCTGGTGCCTCGCCGACGCGGCGCACTCTTCGGCTAAACGTAAGAGTGACCGTTCACCAAAATGACCTTGTGGCAGGCACACTGGGGTCCCCAGATGGCTGAATGCGATGCGATAGCAGCAATTTCTGCGCTCGGGTTTGGCCCCCCCGCGCCCCCCCGACAGCCGCCCACAAAAGGTAACTCTTGCCCAGGGTCACTCTCGCGTGTAGCCGAACCCCCTCCGAGGCAGAGGGCAACGCTGCGTCGGCGAGCAGCACGGCTTCCTCTTTTTGCGGCCGATTGCGCACCCTGCCCCTGCGGGTCGGATCGGCGCTGGGGTATCGGACCCCCCTTGCCGGGGTTCGTTGGCTGCAGACATCCTGGCGGCGGCGGTCGCCGAGGACAGCGTGGCCAGGATCCTGGGCCGCTGCGGCGCGTACTCGCTGCTGCTCAGCACGCGCGGGCCTCGGCGCGGTCGGCGAGGAGGGAGGCCGAGGAGGAGGGAGACTTTCTGCGGGGAGAAGGAGAAGGCGGCCCAGGAAATGGGCGAGGCAGGAGGGCCGAGGAGGAGGAGGAGGAGGAGGAGGAGGAGGAGGAGGAGGAAGAGGAGCCGCAGCCATTCTGCTCAAGCTCAAAAGCCTTGCCCTGGGCGCTTGGGTTTGCTGCATCCAAGGGGCTGGGCCAAGCCCCTGCGCCAAGTCCACAGGGGACCATTCCAGTGTGCCTGGCATCCGCCTGCCAGTCGTACTGGCGCAGTCTTTCAGTTGATTGCTGATGACGTGGAAACAGGCCCAGCGTCGCTATGGGTCGCGAGGCAGCAACTGGAAATGGCACGGGAGTGACAAGAACGGAACCAGACAAGGCGGGCGTGATGCCGCCAACTGACAGTACGTTGTGTGTGAAGTCTGCAACAAATGGAAATGACTGGCGCGCGCGAAGAAGGACCCGCTGTGCAGGTGCGGCAACCACCTAGTTGCAAGTGATGGATCAGCAGGAGGTGGCGGTAGCGGCGAACCAGCACCATGCGATCCCCAGCTGGCCAAGAGACCGGGGGCTCTCCAATGACTCCTCGGACCGCCCCATGCGCAGCCCGAGGTAGGATAAGAGCCAGGCGCAGTCCCTGCACTCGCTCATGATGTTGGATTGGCCAAGCGCGCAATGCAACGAGCGGCTACTTACAAGGCGTGCCATGCCAAGGCGGACCAGCTCAAGGAGCACCTCACCCAGGCCGAGGTGGATCTGGTCCCCGCATCTGCGCAGGAGCAGACCGCAATCAAGAGGCGGCCAAGAAGTCACAGCAGTGGGCCGAGCTGGTCAATCCAGGCGGCTCCAGAGTCTTCGTCATCGACGACAATGAGCTCAGCCAGCAGGACCATGAGGCCCTGCGAGTGCTCATGCAGCAGCACCCGCAGATCGCCGCAAAGTACGACCAGCAGGTGCACAAGCCCCAAGGCCCCGCCCACGCTGCCGCCCAGGCCGAGGAGCCCCAGGCAGCAGCCAGGGCGGCCGCCGCAGCCACCTGCGGAGCTCCGCCGCCAGCCAAGGGGGCCTTCCGCGGGACCCCCATCCGCACCTAAGGGCGGAGGGCCCGCGGGCAAGGCGCCGCCGCCCCCATGCGAGGCCGCGGAGGCGCAGCGGCCTCCCCGCCAGCCCAGGCGCGCCCGCAGCGGGAGAGGCCGCAGCGGAGCCCCCGCGAGTATCGCAGTCACAGTCTTGGTGCCGCTGGTGGCTCTGGCGGTCGCGGGGGTTTCCAGCGACTCACCTGAGGACGAAATCTGAGGAGACACAGGCGCTGGCCGCGCTTTGCCCGAGCTTCGCCAGGATACTCGGTGACCCCGCCTTCTCTCATGGGAGCAGTTGGGAATCGCACTTGCTAGCCCGCCAACATTACTATTACGTGGAGCTTCCGAACTAAGCAATACATCCTAGACTCTCTGTTCCTGGCTGACGTTTCAATTTGGCAATTTGGACAGAGTCGCACATCGCTCTGAACATGCATGGGCCAGTAAGAAAGCAGTTTGAGAAGCAAGGTTGGAAAACGCACGCGCGCCCAGCCATCAACAGCACACATGGTAGCAAGGCGGGTGCTCTGGGCCCCAGGTCCCGCCCCTCATCTCATGCGCGTATCATGGGCGCCAAGGGCCAGCCCGAGCCGTTTGCCCCTGGGACTCACTGGACGAGCGTAGTCATCAATTTAGACAAAGCCACCATCCTCAGGATGTGTGTCTATATGACTTCAGGCGCGGGCGTTAATCAGTCCAATCGGGAGATCATCCAGGGAATCGCCATTTACATTGGGACATGCGAGTTGCCCTGCATCATAGCGGGGGGCTTCAACATGCCCCTCATTCCGAGGCGAATCAGATTATGAATGGCTGTACTGGGTGAACGGGGAGGTCGCGGTTCCGTCCAACTCGCCCTGGACCTGCTCCAACGGGCACTTGATGATAGACTACTGCGCTGTCGACCAACGGCTGGGTTGCCCGGCCAAATCGGAAGCAATGGTGGACGGGCCCTGGAAGCTGCATCTAGGAGTGGCAGGTGCCCCTGCTCGTGACTTCACCCAGAAGGAGATCTTGGCATGTATTCGCGCAGGCCCCCCCCCCCGCCAACTACAGCGGAGCCCGGGCGCCCTCGGGCAATTGCAACGGGGCGGCCGAGGGCGAGGCTTCGGGGCCCCACGTAACCCCGACCTACCCTTGCTGCCAGAAGCACGTTGGCCAGGCGCCCGCGTCGCAATCTGCCACGCCCAGCAGGGCCGTGGAGTTTCAAAGCCACCGCAATCAAGATGGGGACCCCTGTCCACCGAGTCGGGGCGAGTGCGCTAGGCTCCAGCGCCGCGCCCCCCTTCCACCGCGGCCGCGCGAAGGGTGGGAGACCAGCCTGTCCGGCAAGTCGAACGTTCGAATCACGCGCGGTCGCGGCCGCGGCCGAGCACTTCAGCGCGCAGCCGCCATCCAGCATCCGATTCAGAGGGTGCGTTGCGCCGTCAGCTTCCTGGAACTTGTCGCCCAGAACGCAGGGGCGGTTCTCGGGAGGCATTTCGTCGGCCAGATTCAGGGCCCAGACGCATTCAAGGATAACTTCGAGGTTCAGATTGAGATCGGGCATCAGGAGCCCCTTGAGAAGATGCATGAATATTTCCAGAGGCTGGAGCACACAGCTAGCAAGGAGTTCCAGGAGTGGAACGAGGCTGACCCTAAGAAGGGAGGGGAGATCTCCCCCGCCGTCACCACGGCCCAGCTCCCTCCTCCTGAGAAGTGAGACCCCATCGTCATCAACGGGGCCCTCTCAGATGACCCCATCCTCCTCCTGCAACATGAGCTCACCGACTGGGCAAGGTCCCGGGCGCCCCTGGGATCTCTCGGCAGGCCAGAATTGGCCCAATGGTTTGTTCCCTTGGCGGCCGCCGCTCGGGGGCAAGCGCTAGAGGCACCCCTGTGGGAACTAGATGACGTCTCCGACCTCGCGCGCAGGCGCAGCCCCTGCTAGGCAGCAGGCGGACTTGTGGAACCCGAGAGAGGTCGACCTTCTCCCGACCGAATGCCGCGCAGCCCTCTCTGACCAGGTCAACCAGGTCCGAGTCAACGTTAAGTTCATTCCTGGACCCCCTCGAGTTTTGAAGAAATCACGACTGGGGGGGGGGGTCAGTATTTTTGGCGTCTGGGGGCCCGCACCGGCCCTCGGGGCCGTCAAAAAACGACTCTTGACGAAAAACCGGCCCTGGGGGATGGGTCCAGATGGGGGTCGACGTCATGAAACAAATCATGACGTCGGGGGTCGGGGCTGCGCAGGCATTGCTGATGATGGTCCGCCTTGTCCCAGAGAGTGTTGGATCTGATTGACCTAGCACCCGCGCTTGCAGCTTTTGCCGAGTTTGGATCCAGCTTGAGATGCCCAGCATTACCGCTTGGGCCACCAACGCAGCACGGGGCCGGCCCGGGTCGGTTCGGCAGCGGGCCGGCTTGGTTGCAGCATTTCGGGCTCGGCGCCTGCTCGGTTTGAGCCGTTTCAGTTTGCCTCGGGACGTTTGGTTTCGGGCGGTCTGTTTCGGGCAATCGAACGCATGGCGCGCAGTGAGTTGCAGGAGGGGGTCGGGGTCCGCTTCCTGCATGGAGGGGCAGGGGGGGTCTGAAGTCCAGGTCTGGACCTCAGGTCTGGGCCCGAGGACCGGATCTCAGGTCCGGATCCCTGCAGGCACGGACCCCAGGTCCGGACCCGATGAGGTCCGGGCCCCAGGTCCGGGCCCCTGGCAAGGGGCCCCAGGTCCGGAGGCCCGAGAAAGGCTCGCCGAGGCTTTCCGTCGGGGGGCCACCTCGGAGTTTTCGGCGGGGGGGCCTCTTGGGGCCTTCTGGGGGCGCCCTGGCGGAGGTCTCCTGGGCCGCTTCGTCGGGGCCCTTACAGGGCCCCAACGGATGCTACCATGCACCCCTCTGTTGCATCCGTCGCGGGGCGTCTCGGAGCTCTCTGGGGGGCCTCTGCTGGGGGCCCTCTTGGGCCGTCCTGGAGCCTTCTCGGCCCGCCCAGGTGCCCTCCTTTGCTGATGGCGAAGACATATGTTACATGCTGCATGTGTGTTACTTCATCTTACTTATATCTAGCATCTTCATCAACATTAGTTTACTCATACCTTACTTATACGTAATTTATGTTTAATTCATAAGTCCGATAAGTCTGGTTTTTTCGTATGGAAAATGGGGGGCGGGGGCGCTTTCAAAAACGCGTCGGCGTCGCCATCGATCCGCGCAGCCTGCGGGGCCCCGCTCCCGCCCCCCTCCTCTCCGCCCTCCTTTTCCCCAGGCGGGATGCCGCCAGGCGGGCTACCGCCGCGCGAACGTGATTTTTTACAACAGGCGGCCCACCGCCAGGCGGTGCACCGCCGCGCGCGCGCGTTTTACACCAGCGCGCGGACCGACCCGTCCTCGGCTCGGCGGGTGCACGCCGCAGGCGCCCGCGGAGCGTCCTCAGCAGCCAGCGCGCCGCATCCTATGGGGCGGCGGCGTAGTGGGCCATCCCATCCTCCTCGTCCCCCTCCTCCTCCTCCTCCTCCTCCTCCTCCTCCTCTCCTCCTCGTCCCCCTCCTCCTCCCCTCCTCCTCGCCCCCCTGTTCCTCCTCCTCCCCCTCCCTCCCCTCCTCCCCCCCCCCTCCTCCTTGCACAGCTCGGTCCTCCTCGTGGCCGCCACGCGGACTCCCCAGGCGCAGGCCGCGACGCCAGGTCCAGCGGCTCCACGATGAGGTAGGAGCGCCCCGCGGCCACCGCCACGCAGTGGACGTGGAACGCGGCGTCGCCCTCGAGCCACGCGTCCCCGCTGCCGTAGACGAGGCCGCCGACAGCAGCTCGACGACAAGTGATTGCGCCGTGCCTGGACGCGCCCTGGTGCACGCGCGAGCCTCGGCGTTGCCCCGAGAGGCGCCCCCGCAGGCGCGCCCCCCATGGAGGCTCGCGCGTGCACCAA